GACTTCCTGACTCCAGGTCTGGCACTTTATATCCACTACGCCATCTTGCCACCTCCAATAGAAAGAATAGAAATTCTGAGAATCAAAGAAAAGATAAATAAAATTTAAAATGAAACAAAGTATTGAATGACAAAGAAAACTACAAGTTTATTTTTCAAAAAAATTTTAAAATAAAACATTAGCTAATCTGTTGAAAAGAGAGGAAAACCAATTAACCAATATTAAAAATGAAAAAAGGAGAACCCACAACAAATGAAGAGCAAAGGAAATTATTAGCACTTATTTTGCCCAATGAGATGTCACCATAACCTAAATAAGATGAATATTTACAATTACTACGCAATCATCATTATCATTAGGATTATCAAGGTTTTGCCTAGGCAGGCCCAATTGAAAGTCTCTTGTCCTACCAACATCTCACACCATATACCAAGATAAGGTCAAAATGGGTACATGAGTTAGACATAAAGGGTGACACCATAAGCAAATCAGGAGAGCAAGGAATAATTTACCTATCAGATCTATGGAGAAGGGAAAAATGTATGACCAAATAAGAGACAAAGAAATTACAAAATGTAAAATAGATAATTTTGATTATATTAAATTAAAAAGGTTTTGCACAAATGAAACCAATGCAACCAAGATTAGAAGGACAGCAGAAAGCCAGGAAACAATGTTTAGAGCAAATGTCTCAGATAAAGGCCTCATTTCTCAAACACATAGAGAACTGAGTCAAATTTATATGAATACAAGCCATTTCCCAATTGACAAATGGTCAAAGGACATGAACAGGCAGTTTTCAGATGAAGTAATCAAAGCTATCTATAGTCATATGAACAAATGCTCTAATCACTATTGATTAGAGAAATGCAAATTAAAACAATTCTGAGGTACCACCTCACACCTATCAGATTGTGTACTGTGACAGAAAAGGAAAATGATAAATGTCGGAAAGGATGTGGGAAAATTGAGACATTAATGTATGACTGGTGGAGTCATGAACTGATCCAACCATTCTGGAGAGCAATGTGGAACTATGCCCAAAAGGCTATAAAACTGTGCATACCCTTTGATCCAGCTATACCACTGCTAAGTCTGTATCCCAAAGACATCAAAAAAGGGAAAAGGACCTATTTGTACAAAAATATTTATAACAGCTCTTTTTGTGGTGGCTAAGAATTGGAAACCAAAGGGATGCCCATCTATTGGAGAATGGCTGAACAAGCTATGGTATATGATTGTAATGGAATGTTATTGTGCTATAATAAATGAGGAGCAGGCAGATTTCATTAAAACCTGGAAAGACTTGTATGAACTGATGCAAAGTGAAGTGAGCAGAATCAGGAGAACACTGTACATAGTATCATCCACATTGTACAATGAACGACTTAGCTCTTTTCAGCAATACAGTGCTGCAAAATCATTCCAAAGGACTCATGATGGAAAATGCTGGCCACATTCAGAGAAATACCTGATGGAATCTCAATGCAGATTGAAGCTTACTATTTTCACTTTCTTTTTTTTTTCCTGGTTCTTTTCTTTTGGCCTGTTTCTTCTTTCACAGCATAATATAGAAATGTTTTATATGATTGCACAAACATAACCTATATTAAATTGCTAACTGTCTTAGGTAGGGGGTGGTAAGGGAGGAAAGGAGATGATGTGGAATTCAAAAAAAATTTTAAATGAATGTTAAAAATTGCCTTTATATGTAATTGGGAAAAAAATAAAATATTATTTAAAAAAAAGAAAGTCAGCAAACACTTTTGAGGAGGGACAGGGTCAAAGGAGAGAACAGAATAAATGGGGGGGTGGGTTAGGATGAAGGGAAATATAGTTTTTCACAGCATGACTATTATGGAAGTGTTTTGCATGACTACACATGTATGACCTGTATCGAGTTACTTGCCTTCTCAATGAGGGTGGGTGGGGAGAGAGGATGGGAGAGAATTTGGAACCCAAAGTTTTAAAAACAATGTCAAAAATTGTTTTTACATACAATTGGGAAATAAGATACAGGCAATGGGGTATCTTGATAGATCTATCCTGCCCTACAGGAAAATAGAAGGGGAAAGGGATAAGGAGGCGGGGCATGATAGAAGGGAGGATAGATTGGGGGAAGGGGTATTCAGAACATACGCTGTCTTGGGATGGGGGAAGGGAGAGACGGGGAGAAAATTTGGAACTCAAAATCTTGTGGAAGTGAATGTTGAAAACTAAAAATAAATAATTTTTTATTAATTTATTTTGATTTATCAACAATTACTTCCATAAGTTTTTGAGTTTTAAATTTTTCTCCCCCTACCTCCTCACCTCTCTCCCCAAGTACAATCTGATATAGGCTATACATGTACATTCTTATAAAACATATTTTCACATTAGTGATGTAAGTAAGAGTTAGAACCAATAGGAGGAACCACTAGAAAGAGGATACAAAACACAACAGAAGAAAAAAAAAAGCAAATAGTATGCTTCAATCTGCATTCTAACTCCATAGTCCTTTCTTTGGATATGGATAGCATTTTCCATCATGAGGCCTTTGGAGATGTCTTAGATCCTTACATTGCTGAGAAGGATTAAGTCTATCAATATTAGTCATTGCACAATGTGGCTGTTACTATGTACAACATTCTCCTGGTTCTGCTCACTTCACTCAGCATCAGACCATACGAGTCTTTCCAGGTTTTTCTGAAGTCTGCCTGCTCATCATTTCTTATAGCACAGTAGTATTCCATTACATTCATATACCACAACTTGTTCAGCCATTCCCCAACGGATGGGCACCCCCTCAATTTCCAATTCTTTGCCTCCACAAAAAGAGCTGCTATAAATATTTTTGTACATGTGGGTCCTTTTCCCATTTGTATGCTCTCTTTGGGATACAGTCTTAGATGTGCTATTGGTGGGTCAAAGGGTATGCACATTTTTATAGCTTTTGGACATAGTTCCAAAAAAAAAGGTCTCTGGTCCTAGAGACCAAGTCTCAGGGCTTCCACAGGATGACCTTGGTTGCTATTTGGCCTATTCAAATCAAGTCTGGGTCCTGCTCCATCAGCAGATTCTCAAACTTATCCAGCTCCTTCACCAACATGGTGGGGTTCTGGGAGCCAGGAGAGTGGCATGCCTCAGCCAGCATAGTGACTACCTTAAAGGCACATGAGCGAGGCTTCCTCTTTCTAATATCCAACATGTTCAGTAATGGAGGGATTTCCTTAGCATCCAGGGCAGCCTATTTACCTGCACACCAAAGAAGACCAGTCAACACACAGATATGTTCCCAAGAGTAGCTCAGAACCGTGCAGATACACACAGACCCACAGAGGTACAGATACAAATATACCCAGGGATGCCCATACATACCCAGGGTCCAAAAAGACAATGATACTTGGCAGCATACAGAAACACACCCAGAGTGACACAGATCCACAGATACCAAGCAAATACAGACACTCACAGACATACAGGCATACCTATATATGTCCAGACACAGGCAGAGACACACAGAGATACATGCATAGGCCTGAATACCATTATCACAACACTGGCCTTTCCTAACTTCTTCCCAGGACAGGATCTTCCTGAACAAATAATGGAAATTTGTCTCCAGCTTTATCTCACGGACCCACATTAGATATCTGGGCTCAGAACAATGACCACAGTGTCCAGCTATTTCACTGGGCCCCTGGGGTGCCTTCTGTGTCCTTCTTAGCTCGCCTTTCAGAGGCCCTGGACCATGGACAACGATGGGTTAAAATGGAGTCAGGAATCAGTTGGTTATGATCTGGGACAGAGGGAGTGGTGTGGGGCAGGGGAGGCTCTATTCCTGGGTTTCCTCCACCCTGTGATTGGATCTTGTGCAGCCAAGTCTCCTCCCAAAAGGTTGGGGGTGTCCAAAGGTCTACAATGCCACTCTAGGGACAGTAAAATCTGGTTAGGGGAGTCACTGGAAGCGGCATAGAGCAAATGAAGAGGTCAGGCACCTTGCTTTTTAAGGTCCTCCCACATCCATTTCAGGAATACCCTCACATGTCAGATGCCCCAGTCCTCCAGGATGCACAAAGCATCTCACCCAAGGGACACTACCAACTGAGCTGCTAAACTGATCTCCAAAAAGGCATGAGTGGTTGACAGCTCCCCAGATTCTTCCTCCCAACGGAATGTGTTCACTGAGGGCTCTGGAAGACCCCAAATAGTGCTCAAAACTCCAAGGAAAGAATTCCTAATGGTGCCACATGAGGTACCAGTGGGGACACAACTTCCGACAGGACCAGTAGACACAGCTCTGGGCTAGAATTAGGGGGGTTATTCATGGGTCATGAAGAGAGGGGCAACAATTTAGAGCCGGGAGGCACCTTAGGGTTGATTTGTTCCAAATCCTTCATCTCCCAGAGCAGGAAAGAGCCCAGAGCCCCAGCGGGGACAGGAAGGGAGCCAGGTCCTTCTGCTGTGGGCCCACCTCCCCAGGGATGGAGGACAAGGGGGGAGCTCGTGCAGAGCGAAGGCAAACTTCCACCACCCTCAGCTTGACAGAAGTAACTGGCAGTAAGGATGAGACCAAAAAGTAACTGACTGGCTGGTGGTCTTGGGCAAACCACCTCCCCTTCCTCCAAGCCTGTTTCTTCATCTCATGGGTTGCGCGCGGGAGTGCGTGCGTGCGTGCGTGCGTGTGTGTGTGTTTTACCAGATTTATGATTTCGTTAGAATTGGGACCTCCTCATGAAGAAGCACTGTGCCAATATAAACCACACCATGGTGCTTCTTGCCCTCCACTATAAAATGGGGATAATCACACTTCCATCAGAAGGCTTTGTATATGCTTCAGCGCTCCCTGTGGGGGGCAGGCCCCAGCCAGTCTGTATTCAGCCACCTCTCCTCAAGCTGGGGGACATTTTAAATGGCTTTCCAAAGAGCAGCTGAAACCCAGGCTCTAAAAGGGGCTTCATCTCCCCCTGGCCTTAGGCCTCAAGCTGCCCCCCTCCCCCAGTTCCAGCCCCTCTGACCTGCAGTAGTCACCGCTGCAAACATCAGCGCCCCGGCAGCATTGGCCTTCACATCTATGTTGCGGTCATCCAGCAGCAACACCAGCACGGGGATGACGCCATACTCCCACACTTGGTTCTTCCCCTCCCGTGGCATGCTGGAGGAAAGATGGCGTCAGGGCCCAAAGCAGCCCGAGGAGCATGGGGCCAGAGGTGCTCCCACCCCACTCCCTACCCTCCTCGAGAGCCCCAGAACGCAAGGCCCTTCCAGGGTAGTAACAACAGCAGCTATGGGTAGCAGTTACAGAGCCCCTTAAGGTTCGCTAAGCACTTTACCTTTCTTACCTCATCTAATCCCCACAACCCTGGGAGACAGAGGCTGTTCTCATCCCCATTTTACAGATGAGAAAACTAAGGTATGGAGAGATTAAGTTGGTCATCTAACAAGTATTTATTGAGTGTTCCAAATATGGCAGGTACCATGGTAAATGCTAGGCTTAAGAGTCACATAGCTAGGAAGCATTGAGGATGGATCTAATCCAGGTCTCTCTGACCACACCACCATACTTTAAGCCCCAGAAGGGGGAGGGGAGAGGTGTCACAAGGAACAGTCCAGTCCCCTTTACCTTAGAGATGGACCTTGACTTTGGAGTTAGAACACCTGATTTCTAGCCCAGGATCTGATACTTCCTAGCTATGTGACCATGGGCAAATTCATTTCCTCCCCCAAGACTCAGTTCCCTCATCTGTAAAATGGGAATAGTTATACTTCCACTACCTGCTTCATGTAGCCATTATGAGAAGAGCACCTAGTGAGCCACCAAACCCCATGTGGTTATCATTCATACTCTTGACCACGATGAGGCCTCAGACACTTCCTAGCTGGGTGACCCTGGGCAAGTCCCTTCACCCTGTTTGCCTCAGTTTCCTCATCTATAAAATGAGCTGGAGAAGGAAATGGCGCAGCACTCCAGTATCTTTGCCAGCAAAGACAGAGAGTCGGTCAGACTCAAATGACTGAACGACATTAGCAACCTCCTCTTTTTACAGAGGAGAACACTGAGGCCCCGATAGGTTAAGGGATGTGCCCAAGGTCCCACACCTAGTAAGTGGTAGAGCCAGGATTTGCATCAGGTCTGCAGTACTCCACTGCCCACTCTGCTGATGCCCAGGACAGCATTCTGCCCATTCCATCATGAAGAGAGGAGAGTTGAAAAGGGAGAATTTGCGTTTAGAAGATTAGGAAACAGACCCAATGGAAAAAAGGATGAGGAGGCAGATAGAAATTCAGACCATGTGAGAAAAATCAGTAAGACTGTCCCCACAGCTAAGGGCCCCGCTTTAGAAAGGAGGGAAATAAGCATTTCTGAAAAAAAAAAAGTATGGGACAAGAATTATGATAAGCCCTTTACAAGCGTCCCATTTGATCCTCACACAATCCTGGGAAGTAGGTGCTATTATTCTCCCTATTTTACAGTTAAAGAAACTGAGTCAGATAGAAGAGAAGTGACTTGCCCAAGGTCACATAGCCAGAAAGTGTTTGAGGTTCGATTTGAACTCGAGGCCTGTCATTCTATGCACTGCGGCACCCCTTAGCAGCCTTTATCCCACACCCTGTGGGACCCTCAGCATCTTCAGGCAAGGTGGACGTCCTCAGAAGGACTGGCCTGAGGATGAGTGGCTGGACCACAAAACCATAACGGCATAAGCTTCCCCCAGGGTGCTCTGGGCCTGTCACCGAGGCAGCAGAGAACAGCTGTGCCGGGGGGACCCTCGGCTCCCGAGCTTGATCTAGAAGCTCCGAGCTTCCTGGAGAGAGACGGCACAGCCGTCCCAACCAACCGCCCTCCCCGCGTCTGAGCAGCAGAGCCCATCTTGGAGTGAGGGGAGGGGAGACGAAGAGGAGGAGGAGGAGGAGGAGAGCGGAGTGGGAGCCGGGGGCCAGCTTCTCAGTACTTAGCGAGGCCCGATAAAGGCCACTTCAGCCCAAGCCTGTTACAGGGTAACAGAGGTGCAGACATGAGGTGAGCTGTCCAGCGCTCCGCCTCCAAAGCCCAGGCTCCGCTCCCGCACCTCGGCCTCGCTGACTTACCTCGGAGAGCAGCTCATTGCACAGACGCGCAGACCGAGACCTGCCCCCACTCCCTCCCGGCCTCTCACCAGATGGCCATCAAGGCGTGGGCCGCTGCGCTGCGGATATACTCATTGGCGCTGCTGAGCTTTTCCCGAAGGATGGGCACCGCCTTGCTCTGCAGGGCCGGGGACGCGTCCCACTGCAGGCAGAAGTAGAGCGTGTCCAAGATGAGCTCCTGGATCTCCTCATCTTCGTCCTTCACCTTGTTCACCAGACGGGGGATCAGTCCACTCTTGCTGATCGCCTCAGCCCCTGGGGGAGAGAGGGAGCACAGGGTCCTAGACTTAGGCGTGGAAGGCCTCTGGTGCAGCCCCCTCCCTTTTACTGGACAGCTGGTGCAGTGGATAGAGAGCCGACCTGAGGTCAGGAAGACCTGAGCGCAAATCCGGCCTCAGACACTTCCTAGCTGGGTGACCCTGGACAAGTCCCTTCACCCTGTTTGCCTCAGTTTCCTCATCTATAAAATGAGCTGGAGAAGGAAATGGCGCAGCACTCCAGTATCTTTGCCAACGAAGGCAGAGAGTCGGTCAGACTCAAATGACTGAACGACATTAGCAACCTCCTCTTTTTACAGAGGAGGAAACTGAGGCCCCGACAGGTTAAGGGATGTGCCCAAGGTCCCACACCTAGTAAGTGGCAGAGCCAGGATTTGCATCAGGTCTGCAGTACTCCACTGCCCAAGGAGTGAAGGGGAAATAGGGAAGGAGCCAGACAGCAGAGCTCCTGGGCCTCTGCCCAGCCCCTTCCTTTGGGGCACCAGCTTTCTGGGGGCTTGTCACTTTGCAGAAATGAATGCATATGGATCAAAGAGCTCCCCGGTATCTCATTAGGGCGATCGGCCCAACTTCGATTCTGTACAGGAGGCCAGAAGAGGCAGAAGGGCTGAGAGCACGTCCGGGAGGCCAGAATGGACAAATGCCGCTAGTGCAAAGCGCTGCCTCACCTAGAACAGAGAAGCTCCCACGAGGGAGATGGCAGGGGGTGGGCCCTGAGTGGGGAGGGGGAAGGGGGGGGAATCAGCCTGCGTCAAAGGAAGGAGGCTGCACAGCGCCCCACCCCAGGAAATCAGAGACCCTGGAAGTCACCAAGTGTGGCGGGGAGGGGGCAGGGACGGAGGGCAAAGGGCTGGCCATCCCCATGTACCGCAAACACAACCCAAAAGGCAAGTGACGCTGACGCCAAGCCAACCCTAGTCAGCTTTCTCTATCGCCCCAGAGTTCTTCTCCCACACCAAGGGGCCTCCACGCTGAGAGCCCCCCAGCCCACCCCAAGCAGCCACCGTGCCCTGTCTTCCCAAGCCGCCGTTGCCGGAAGAGGCGGCCGCAAGCAGAAACGCCCGCCACCCTCCCCAGCCACCTCCTTAATCTGCTCCAAAGGTACAAAGGGGCAGGCTCATGAGCCACAGGTCTCAGTGTGCCAATTAGCGGTAATTCATTTACCACGCGTCCGTTAGCCTGGAGGAACGTGGCCTTTGAAAGTATGCTATGAGCCTTCTTCTGAGCCCCCTGAGGACTTCAAAGGCAGGCGGAGTGAGGGGGTGAACGGGGCAGAGACGGCTGGTGTGTGCGTCACCTCCTTCAGAGGCTGCGGGGCGCTCCCCTGCACCAGGGCTGGCGAGGGGCTACATTCCAGGGGAGCGTCTACAGGCTGAAGGAGGAGAGAGCAAGCGCCTAAATCTCTGAGCATCCCCTAGCCATCTCCTGCACCTGCAACGCACCTCCGGGTTCAACCGGCTCTTGATGTACAGAGAAGGGAAGTCACACCTTCCCCACCCCAATCACTGGAGCAAGCGGCAGGGTCAGGATTTGAACCCAGAGCTTCTGATAGGGATGATGAGAACGGCACAGAAGGGCATGACAGAAAGGGAAGGGAGGGAAGAAGGAAAGAATTCTAGACTCTCGGAGCTTGAGACGGTCTCCTTAGAGACATTTAGTGACAAAGGCTGATGATACAGAATTTCAGCTAGAAGGGGCCTCGGAGACTATGATACAAGGCATATGTGAACAACATAGTGAACATGAGCTGGCGGGCAGCTAGGGGGCGCCATAGTGCACAGAGAGCCTGGGCTGGAGTCAGGAAGACTCATCTTCCTGAGTTCAAATCTGGCCTCAGACACTTCTAGCTGTATGACCCTGGGCAAGTCACTTCACCCTGCTTGCCTCAGTTTCTCATCTGTAAAATGAGCCGGAGAAGAAAATGGCAAACTACTCCAGTATCTTTGCCAAGAAAACCCCAAAATGGGGTCATGAAGAGTTGGATGATAGAACACAGTATATTGCAAGAAAGACCCCTTCTAGTCAGTCAAAAACGTTGACAAAATCCCTCCCAAATGGTCATTCGGCCCTAGAGTAATAGGTTTCCACCCTTGGAATCAAGCACTTGGGTGAGGGTCAACACAAGCCATGTACGTGACAGCCCATCTGAGGTATGTGGGGGCAGCGATTACATTCCACGTAAGACTTCTCTCATCCAGACTAGACATCCTCAGTCCTTTTAGCTCATCCACAGAGGAAGCTCAGGCACAGCAAGTTCTATGACTTGCCCAAGGCCACCCAGAGATTCACAGCCAATTAGATTGTCTTTATAAAGTGCTTTACACGGTTATCTGATTTGATCCTCAACAACTCTTCGAGGTAAGTGCTATGATTATCTCCATTTTACAGAAGAAAAAACGGAGGCAGACAGAGGCTAAGTGACTTGCCCAAGGTCACACAGATAGTGTCAGAGGTAGGATTGGAATTCAGGTCTTCCTGACTCCAGGTCTCCACTGCCCCACCTCAATGACTATGCCCCACAGCAGGGCTGGGAATCCAGCCCAGGTCCTTTGACTCTAAACCCAGGTATCATCCCACCACACTACACTGCCTTGTATCCAGTCCAACTCCATCATCCTTCCATTTTATAGAAAGGAAAACTGAGGCCCAGAACATACAGGCTGTAACTCCACCATCTGAGGGTGGAAGGAGGGGTGGGGGAGGCTCTTTCCAGCAGCTGGCCCTCTTGGACAATGAGGAGAGTGCTCCTTCTAGCCGTGGTTCCTTCTAGCTCTAAGATCAGAGGAAAGTCCTTTCCGTTCTCAGCCTGTGCCCCATCTGCTGATGCTATGAGCTTGTCTCTGCTGCTGGGGATGGCGGCCGGCCTGCTCGGAGCTATGGCCTGCTGGGGTTTTCAGCTGGTGTGTTTTCAGAGGGTCTGACACCCCCTTAGAATCCCCAAGATCTCAGCTGCTCTCCCATCAGACGCAGCAGAGAAGCTACTTCTTGGTGTCTCCTTCTCTGAGGTTTCTGTTTGTTAATCACAGCTTGCCTGTGGCCAGAAACAATTCAGCCCCTGCAGCCAGCCTGGGGACGGGCGCTTCTCCTTGGGCAGGCAGGCCACAGGCGGCAAGCTCGTGACCTTCCCCAGGTTTGGCCTGGTAGCTTTTTCTGCTGGGCCAGACTTGCCGGTGCTGGTTCCAAAGGCACTGCCTTCAAAGTCCTGGAGGTGTTTCCCAGTGTCAGGAGGGCAGGAAGGCAATCAAAGCCCCAGAGTCCCAGGGCCCCTGCTATGAATGCTGGGGGAACAGGGAAAGGCAAAAATAGGCCTTGATCTCAAAGAGCTCCTAGTCTAACGGGGGAGTCCATGTACAAACAACAATGTCCAAAAAAGCTACAAATGCAATGAATTGGGGAGATGATTAACAGAGAGCAGGTACAAGCCTTACAGGGGAGCAGGAAAGGCTTCCTGGAGGAGGAGGGACTCTAGCTGGGACTTGAAGGAAGCCAGGGAGGGCAAGAGAACTCTGAGCCTGGCTCAGATGGAAAGGAGAAATGAGCACATATTAAGCACCTACTGTGTGCTAGGCTCTGTGCTAAGCACATTACAAAGATGCCTCCCAACATCCCTGGGAGGCAGGTGCCATTATGATCCCCATTCTACAGCTGAGGAAACTGAAGTACACAGAAGAGAAGTGAGTGCCCAAGGTGATACAGCTAGGAAGTGTCTGGGGTAGGATTTGCACTCAGGCCTTCCTGAGTCCAGGTCCAGTGCTCTGTGCACTATGGCACCACCTCACTGCCCCCAGCTCCTCTGCTTAAGAGTAGACAACCCTGGGACAGCTAGGTGGCACAGTGGATAGAGCACCGGCCCTGAAGTCAAGAGGACCTGAGTTCAAATCTGGCCTCAGACCAAACACTTGACACTTTCTAGCTGTGTGACCCTGGGCAAGTCACTTAGTCCCAATTGCCTTTAAAACAAAAAGAGGAGAGGACCCTTAGAGACTGGCTGGTGACTCAGAGAGGATCCTGGATTAAGAAGCAGCAGAGCTCGGGCTCTGAGATCCCAGCTCCAGGGCTCTTCCCATTACACTGAGCCACCTCAGTCTTCAATGTAGCATTCTGGGTGCTGCCCAGAATGGCGACCGGAGGTCTGACCTTGATCCAAGCGGGTTTTGTTCTTTGTTTCGCCTCCCAATCTTTCCCCCCACCTCACACCATCTCTCTTCTCCCTCTCTACACTCGGCAACAGGGCACACGCGTGCGCACACGCACACACACACATACACACACATATCCTGTCTATATGTGTGTGTGTGTGTGTGTGTGTGCACGTGAGTGCTTTAGTTTACTATAGTGTGAGAGAAGAGAAAGCAGGAGAGGGAAAATGGGGGAGAGAGAGCACAGAGGAGAGGCGAGGGGAGACAGAGAGAAAGAGACAGAGAGAAAACCAGGGAGAGTCAGAGATGCCAAACACCGAAGATTAAAAATACAGCACATGCTTTCCACGCCCGCCTGCCTGTTCATTTGGATCCTTCGTGTGCTAAGAGGAGCCACGCAGGCCTGGCTATTTATAACTAACCCAGATCTGTGCCTCCATGTGCAAAAGAGGGGCGGAAGGAGAGCAGCCACCATGGCCGGTCCCAGGGGGCTGAAGGCCAAAGGAGGCTCTGGGGGGCACCAGCAAAGCCCCTTCCTCCAAGCCGGTCCCTCCAGTTCCTCACCATCAGCAGCCCTGTGGAGATGACGGCCAGACCTCCCCTCACTCCTGAGCTTCAGCCCCAAACTCCCCCATTGCCTGATGGATTCGGCCAACGGGGCCAGAACTGAACTCCACAACAACAAATATTCCATTAGGCACCTGTTGTGTGGACAATACTATGCCCGTATTTGGGGAGACATGATGTATGGAAAAGACATAGCCTCTGTCCTCATGGAGCTCAGTCTAATCATCCATCACCATCACCATCCACATCCCTTATTTTTCTATTGACTGCC